TTCGACTACTATCAGCATTAGCCATATGAAGAAGTTTCAAGCAGCCACCAAGGCGGACGTATGTCCTTCTCTACCCGTGGCTATCATGATCAGCCAATGGGATATCATGAGCAGTAGATGGAGCATCCTCGCCTTGACACCAGGTTGACGACCATAGAAGAGACGTAGCATGACATCCAGAACACGCTTCACCAGCACTCCTAGTGTCAAGCAAAAATGGGAGACCACATCACCAATATCCAGCAACACTAGAAGCAGGAGAATGAGAATTGGCACTACTTATTCCAGGGTCTCAACATCGACGCGCCATTCTGATCGACCGACCACAGCAACACCCAGCTTGGGGGAGGAGAATTCCCCGTTACCTCAGGTAAGTTATCTTTTCTTTTCTAGTATTTTATTTCTTTATTTTTCAAGCTTGTTATATATTATTATTATTAAAAAATGCATAACTCAAAAACAAAATAAAAATTTGTCTTTGTCTTGTATAGTAGTAAGGTGTGATTTAAAAAAAATGAAAACCAAATAAAAAGAATTTGTATAAAGTTTGCTTTAAGTTTCTGTTTTTAAGATCCAATAAATAAAAAGAACTTGAAGATGATGATTCACAATGGAAATGATAAATAGTTACTCTGTTATAATTCCTTTTAAGTACCTAGTTTTTAGCCTTAAATTCTCTCGAGTTTTGGATATGACTGTTTTGACATGAGAATTTGCTCTGAACTTGAAACTCGTGGGTAGCAAATGCTTGATCTAAATCTAGGTAATTGACGGATATGATATGAGAAGGTCTGAGCTGCTATTTATCTTGCTCCAAGTGATACTAAATTCTAGAGATTTCTTTTGAAAAACATAAAAAGGCAACATGATGAGTTATTGTATGACAAATCTTGAATTTATACCAGAGCCAAACATGATATTTATGCTAGAAAATTTTTCACTCATATATGCTGATTGTTTTACATTGAGTTTGATCAAGCTTTGTTGATCCTTATGAGTGGTTTGTCATGCTCTTAAAATCAGGATTACGTACACACCACCCATATTTGGACTACTCATACACTGTGGGTAGGCGCAAAATCATGTTTTCCATCAAGATTCACCCAAAATGTTTTACTCCTACACTAGGAGTAAATAAAAATATTCTCGATAGGTTTCATCCACCAAATTAATGCTCCAAGTTTTTATTAATATCTCTCAAAAGTTTTATTACAGAAAAGATGCATGGGCTATGTAAAAGTTATTCATAAAAAAATAGCTGAAAAAATGGACAAGTGTCCGAATTATCAAAACAATGGGTACTTAGATGCCCACCTAGAAAAAAAAAGAAAGAAAAGAGATGAATAAGATAGCCCATGTGTTTCTTTTAAATGTTTTCAAATTTCAAAAGAGGGATAAGTTTTCAAGGAGCATAATAGAATTAGGCTAGCCACCATATATAGCCACCATATATTCCACACACATCTACATCTTGATTTGATTATATGACTCAACTCTCTTTGGATCCGAGGTTTGACTTTACAATATATGCATTGCAAGTATGCTCTTTCATGTTATCACCATTCCTATGAGCTCCACATAAGTCTTAGTTGTAGGAAGAGAAAGGTATAACATCACTATTGCCTTGGTGAGGATCCACAAATACCATATATATTGAGAGACTTGGGAGTGTCATACAATGGAATCTCTGAGTTTTATTTTGAAAACTTGCAAAAACTCCGGGATAATGGTTGAGCAAAGAACTTGAGATATAGTACTTAACTTGATCATTCTGTCTTTCAATTGCTCAAGACCCAAGTGAACGCTACAAGCCCCATGGTTGAAGGTAATATAGGTAAGTTTGAAAGTTAGATCAGTTTGTTCTAATTCAGGGGAGAATTCTTGTTTGAACGCATGTGTACTTTTGAGGAGTGACGACATTGTAGCCACTCCTGATCCATTGCTAAGTTTGGCATTGCTCAGGGACGAGAAAAGGTTAAGCTTGGGGGAGTTTGTTGACGGTAGTTATCATTCATTAAGAACCGTCAACATAACTTGAATAAATGCATAAAAATGATCACCAGCATAGACTTAGGGGTTTAAACTGATAATTTTCATGAGTTTTGGTGAATCTGTGTTTTCAACAGGGTTTATCTAGAAAATCGTCAAGGAGGATCAAAACATCAAATAAAATCACGCTTATCCGCAGCGAAAACAACTCCAGAAGGTTCCAGAGGACATCAGAGGCCACGCCACCAAAGCAAACCTACAGAGGATGACATGTGGGGCCGGCCGGCCCCACCTATAGGTCGGCTGGCCCCTGGGGCCCACCTGTCAGCCCTCCGTTCTTATGTCGATTCTTCACCGCCTTAAGGATTGCATCTAAGTCGTTTATTTAAGTCGGTTTGATCTGAGGGTTCAGAATTGACGCTCTAGTCTATATATACCAGCCCCTGCCCCCCTCCCTGAAAGATCTGTCATAAGTCAAGATCAGATCAGAAATTAGGGTTTCCAGAGAGAAGAGAATAGAGCTCCAATTCTTCAAAGTTCTAGTATAGACTAGCTAACAAGGTTCAAGTAGAGTTTGGGCTATTGCTCATGATTCTGGATTCGCCGTCTGGAGGCCGGTATATCCATTGCATCCTTCTTATTTATGACTTTGTGCTACTTCAATACTATGTTGCTATTTATTATGTTCCTAGTTTGCTCTAATTATATGCTTGATATAGTTATGATTGATTATGCATATATACATATGTTCGCAAAGCGCTTAGCTCAATACTCGAGTGAGCTAACTGGTCAACATTATGTAAGCGTTGTGCTTAAATATTGTTTACCTGTGGATACATTCTACACTCTGGGTCATGTGATAGATCGTGGATGTGACACTCCCGTTGAGTCATTTGTAGTCCACTCCCCGTTTGTAGAGCAAGTAGAACCTACGAAGCGAGTCAAGCTCTGTTCTTGATCTTCCTTAGTAATATTCATTATGCATAGACTCAAAGTTAATTATGCTATAGATGGGAGTGTATATACTTGGATGTACAAAAGATTTAGTAAATACGAAATGACTTAGAAAGCTTTTGCTCTTAACTAATCTCCTACCTAGTCATACTATATTTACGAGTATCTATTCCTATCTCTGGATTACTATCAATACCTTACACTTATCATTTTTTTATCATTTGACTTACCCCTGCTATAGCATGAGAGTTAATGATCTTGTCATAAGTATGCATATTTGTCAATATCTCTTGCCACCCCCATCACTCCTCCCTGTGGATAAAATATAAGTAACGATACCTGGTATACTCCCGGATGAAATGCTACAATGGTATATTATCTGTGCGCTTGCGGATACTTAATATATATAAATTTACAAGTATTATCAATAATTACCAACAACGCATTTCTGTCATCATTGTTAGGGATGACAACTTAGTAAAGAGTGATGCTAAGAGATGTCAACAGTTGCTCACACAAGTGTACCTGTGGACTAATCACCTGTGTATCTCACATTAAACACATATTAGTTCATCTAATTTGTCACTCCATTACCAAAACCAAACTAACGATCTTTCAGACAACCATCCTTCTTGACGTGTGTTCAACAATCATCAAGTGAAGGGCGATAAAACTAGCCTAAAAGATTTTGTGACCAGGCCGATTTCTGCAGTGAATGCGGCGAGGAGCGCCACTGCAGGTTGCATGTGGCATTCTCAGGTATTTGGCATGTTTCAATGATAACATATTTGGAGAATCCACTAGGGACGATTTGATAGTTCTTTGGATCATTGTTCCTACGAAGATTCCATCAAGAATTTGTAATTTATAAAGTAAGGCGTGTATTCTCAATTTAATTAAGCTGCAAGTATCCTTTTGTATTCACTTTAGCCAATATTGTAATGAATGTTTGAGCCCCTGAAAGATTTCAAATGAAAACAATTTGAAATCAGAAGTTTTAGATCTCTTTGATTTAGCTGGCCTCAACAAACTTCTTCACCCAACCAATTTCCATTCCTCTCCCCTCTCTTGATCTCGCGTCGCCTTTTCCTCCGTCCTCCGAGCAGTCGCATCACCTTCTCTTCCGTCCTCTGAGCAGTCGAGCAACGGCCAACATTCGTTCCTCCTCTCACTAGCTCCCCTAATTCTCTCTTGTGGCGGTGTAGGCATGGCAGCCTCCTCTGGGCACAGGGGCGGCACAGCGGTGGTGACAGCATAGCCTCGACCAGTTGAGGCATCGCTCGGGCTCGGTAGGTTCAACAGGCCATCGGGTCGGCCCCCGACATGGCTTCACCCTTGTAAGGCCGTGGCTGGGCCACAGGCACAACCTATGGGCAAGCAACATGAAGGGTGGATCGGGCCGTGCCCCCATTTGGCCATCTATACTTCCATGGTTCCATGGCTTCGATGATGGAGTCATTTTCCACGGTGGCTTGACCGCCTGAGTTCCTGGCGTCTAAATGCCGCGGAGAGATTGGCGTCAAAGGCTCCCCTGTACCCAACTTGACTGGTTCATCAGCAGTGGTGGCGGAGCGATGCTGCGCCGAGCAAGCCCGACCCGCCATAGACACACAGACTTCTCGGAGCCCTTCTGCTCCCGTGCACCTATTGGACTTGGGATCTTCCAAGAAAAGAGGCAGCTTTTCTGATCAAAGAAGCCGCCGTCGGAGACCATTACCTTCCTGGCTGCTCTGCCCGTCGGTGCTTTGTTAGTCTTCGCTTTCGATCCAAGTCCGATTTCAACTCGTCCTGTCCTTTCTTCCTTGATCTGTTAGTCGTCTGTGTATTAATTATTGCGGACTCAGTCATCACCATACGCTCCCAACCATCAATGCATGATGAAAGATCTATACCTTTCAATTTGACCGGATAGTATCACCCCACCTTAAAGCTTCTTTCTTACAGAAATACTGTATAAAGAATAAAGATCTATACATTCAGTCCAACTGTGTTCTTCATCTACAGCACACGCCATCTTCTTCACACTGCTTCCAAGGGCAACGAACAAGAAAGGCCTGATGGATATGGTGTATATTCCCGCCTTCATCCTCATATTCCTAATCTCACTCTGCCAATCCGACAACCAGCTGACACAAACAAAGCCACTCTTGCCCAATGACACGCTCATCTCGGAAGGCGGGGACTTTGCTCTTGGCTTCTTTTCCCCTACCAATTCCAGCAAGAAGTTATACATAGGAATTTGGTACCACGGCATTGCAGAACGCACTGTGGTCTGGGTCGCCAACCGTGACAACCCAATCACAACGCCATCAGCGAAGCTCGCCATCACTAGCAACTCAGAGCTGGTGTTGTCGGATTCCCAGGGCCACACTCATTGGACAAGCAACACAAGTGGAGGTGCCGGAGCTTCTGCGGTGCTACTCAACTCTGGGAACTTTGTCCTTCAGTCGCCGAACGGCACAGAGATATGGCAAAGCTTTGATCACCCGACCGATACAATTCTTCCAACCATGAGGGTTCTGATGAGCTACAAGGCGCAATCGGTAACACGCCTCGTTGCTTGGAAGGGTCCTGGCGATCCATCAACTGGGGATGTCTCTTGTAGCGTTGATCCTGCCTCGAACTTTCAGATGTTCATTTGGAAGGGGACTTTGCCGTATTTCCGTTTCTCTCTTTTTACTGATAATTCGGTGTCTGGTGGCTCATACCAGAGCAATGGTATCTCCATCGTCATGTACCAAGAGATGATCAACACAGGGGACGAGTTATACTATACGTACACAGTCTCTGGCTCACCCTACGTACGCATGTCTTTTGAATACACAGGCAAGGCGGGTCTCCTGATTTGGAACAGCACCACGTCGTCATGGGCAGTCATTTCTGAGCGTCCTAATGCTGACTGTGAGCTCTATGCTTCTTGTGGTCCGTTCGGCTATTGCGACCACACAGAGGTAGTCCCATCCTGCCGGTGCCTTGATGGGTTTGAGCTCCTGGACAGTCTCAATTTCTCTAGAGGATGCCGGAGAAAGGAAGCGCTAAAATGTGGAAACAAAGACTATTTCATCACCATGCCTAATATGAAGGTTCCTGACAAGTTCTTGCACATTAGGAATAGAAGCTTCGATCAGTGTGCAGCCGAGTGTACTCTAAACTGCTCGTGTGTGGCATACTCCTATGCCAACCTAAGCAATGTTGGTACTACGGGTGACACATCGAGGTGTTTGGTCTGGACTGATGATCCTATCGACATGGAGAAGGCCAGCTTTTTAGACAACTTAATGTACATCCGTCTTGGCCAATCTGCTGGTACGCACATTCCTAACACCTCATCCTGCTTTCCCAGGAGTAACATTTGTCTTCAATGTAACAATGTTCCATGCCGTTGCCACTCTCTAAGGCTTGTTTGTAAGATCCGAAATTGTTCAAAAACAGTTAAAAGGATTTAGTTCAAATTTGTGCAAGCCCTAGACGGACTTTGAAACTTAAATTGATTTGGCATCAAATAAACCATCACACCACCATAGCATATTTCTTACTTTATGCTGGTTTTGAGTTTTGACACCACCTAAAAGCAGCAACAAAAAAGAAAGAAGAACACGTTTAACAACAACCATTCACTTTGACGTTCGCAACAGCAAACTAGGTATGAGTATACAACCTGACTGAACGCCATGATATAAAAAGTCCAATCAGTAATATCTGTAAGTAATGGTTTAACTGGTAATTAGGTTCTTGAATATCCATAGGTCTGTCTTTATTAGAGGTACAGCATTCACAGATCAGTCATGGAACACTTGGCAGTAAAGTCATACAATTGCATGCTACAGATGATTATGCAGTAACTTCTAACAGGATACTTTTCGTGTACAGTTCATAAGAAGAGCACTTTGCTGAAAATTTTACTCCCAACTATAGCATGTCTGCTGCTACTCACACTCGCAGCCCTTGTCTGGACATGTAAAAGCAGAGGTATGAAAGAAAAAAAGAGCCCTCATTTTCAGAAAGCACTGTCAATGTGCAGATGTTCAAGGAACAAAAGGGGATCCATTCATGTTTCAATGATTACAGGCAAACTGCGAAAGAAGAGAGTCCAGAAAAGAAGAATGCTAGAATACTTGAGTTCTACAGATGAACCTGGGGGCAAGAAAATAGAGTTCCCATTTATTAGCTTTGAAAACATTGTCACAGCAACAGACAATTTCTCTCATTGCAATATGATTGGGAAAGGAGGTTTTGGCAAAGTATACAAGGTACTCTATAGTGAAAAGTTTCGCCTCAAAATTTACATTACTGAAAATAAAATTCTGATTCTAAATGATGTGATCATGTAGGGACTGTTGGAAGGTACCAATGAAGTAGCTGTCAAGAGACTTAGTAAGAGTTCTAGGCAAGGTGCCGAGGAGTTCAGAAATGAAGTAGTCTTGATTGCAAAGTTGCAGCACAAGAACCTAGTTAGGCTTCTCGGTTGTTGTATTCATGAAGATGAGAAGCTGTTGGTTTATGAATATATGCCCAACAAAAGCTTGGATTACTTTCTCTTCGGTACATTCACTTTCAAAAATTTTAATACTGTTGGTCAGACCCAATAAATAAATAACAACATTTATTTCCTTGTGATATGTCTCATGTCCTATTCTTATCAGACTCTGCAAGAAAATCAATGCTTCAGTGGTCAACAAGGTTCAAAATAATCAAGGGGATAGCACGAGGAATTATGTATTTGCATCAGGACTCTAGATTAACTATAATCCATAGAGATCTCAAAGCAAGCAACATTTTGTTAGATAAAGAGATGACCCCTAAGATATCAGATTTTGGCATGGCTAGGATATTCTGTGGCGACCAACATCAAGCAAATACAAACCGAGTTGTTGGGACATAGTAAGTAACTCATGCCCCTGTCAATTCTTCAGATGTAATTTATATTGCTGACACTTGTTTAGAGACTGCTTACCTAAATAAATGGTGAATCCTTACACAGTGGCTATATGTCACCTGAATATGCAATGGAAGGTGCATTTTCAGTCAAGTCAGACACCTACAGCTTTGGTGTTCTACTATTGGAAATTGTGAGTGGAATAAAGATCAGTTCACCAAACCATATGATGGATTTTCCTAACCTTATAGTCTATGTAAGTATTGGTGGATGCGCCTAATCCAGCATCTACTACATATTCACTGAATTATATTATTACCTGATAAAAGATTTCATCTATGTTCAGGCATGGAACCTATGGAAGGATGACAAGATAGAAGATTTGGTGGACTCATCTGTTAAAGAGAATTGTCCTCTCGATGAAGTTTCACGATGCATCCATATAGGACTTTTGTGTGTTCAAGACAGTCCAAACTGTAGGCCACTAATGTCAGCAGTTGTGTTCATGCTGGAGAACAAAACCACTCCACTCCTAATACCAATACAACCTGTGTATTTTGCACGTAGGGATGCCAGACCTGAAAATGCTGCCGATGATAGGGTATTATCCGTGAATGACATGAGCCTCACGGTGCTAGAGGCCCGTTAGATGATGTTCTTCCGCAAACTCCGCTTGAAATTGTTATAGAAAAATGGAACTTCTAGTACAAGTGAATACAGATGCAACAAGTGAATTTCTGAATGTGGTTGTGACGTATGTAAGCTTATTATTATATATGAAATTAAGATTTTTATTTGGTTCCTAAATGTAACACCCTAAAAATCCAATTTCAGAAAATAGGTTTGATTTATTTGTTTATGTATTTTTGTGTGCATTAAACGTAAGGAAAATAATATTTTTTTATAAAATTAAAATCAACTATTGGAATAGAAACATGTTTATGTATTGCATGCTGCTGCCTTGAGTTTTTGTGATGACTAGTTTCAGGAGGATTCAAACCCGGGCTTGAATTCAGTTTTGTTTTTAGCTTTTTGGTTAAAAAAGAAGGGTTCCAGATTCTTGGAGAAACATTTCAGTTTCAGATTCTTTGGAAAAACGTTTCTATGAGAAATGGAATCACTTGCTGGAACTGTTTGGCTGTCTGCCTAGCTTCAGAATCTGAAGAGAGGAGAATGTGGTTGAATAGACCAAAGTGCCCTTGACATGTGATGGGTTTTCCTTGAGTAATTACTGAGCAAATAAGGCCAATATTTCCCTATAAAATATATTGCAGATTTCATACAAATAATTCTTGAGAAAATATAATTCAAGCAATTAGCGATTTTGTACATCCAGGCGATAGATCTCTATGAAAGGATCTAAAAAATTACTTTGAAATTTTTAGAATTTATTTCAAATTTCTAATGATTTTATAACTTTGCTGCTATTCACTCTTGTACGTAATAACAATAAAAAAGAATACAACTCTTGTACATATCTATACCTAATAATAAAAAGGTAAAATTTCTGCCATATTTTTTTTCTACCTCCTTCTGGCTTATTTTTTCGTCCAACCCCAAATCTAGCTCGGTCTCTTGCTCAGCCTCAGTATGTCGATCTATTTGCCTTAACCGACCTAGATTAGGAGCGGGGAAGAGAACATAAAGAAATTCAGGGTTTCAGATGTAAAGATGACAGAGAGAAAGAAAAGATGGGAGGACATTAATAGTTTTTAAAATATATTGGGGTTCCTGATGCAAAATATCCAAAACCGAGTGGGCCTCTCCTGGTGGGCTTCTTTTTTTTTGACCTAGGCTGAATCCTTCATGTTGGGCCGGCTTCGTTGTGGGATGGACCAAGCCCATACAAGCCTTTTTCCTTTTTTCGTTTTCCCTTTTTCTATAAAAATAGAGATTTTGCAAAATTCAAAAAAATTATAGAAAAATCAAAAAATGCCAAACCAGTTTTGTTAGCTTCATAAAAATGTGATTTATCCATAGATGTTATGAATCTTGTTAAGTTGTGCTTTTGCCTATATGTGCATTAAATCATCTCTTCATATGTTGCATGCATATAGGTTTGGCAATGACTGAGAATGTGCTAGAAACAAACCCGGAATACGCGGAGGTGGCCGAGGAGTAGAAGGAGGATGTCCTCATCGTCGGTGTTCCCGAAACCTTCACTAACTTTCCATTATCCGGTTCCTACCTAAGGCAAGCCCCGGTACATAACCCCTACTTTTTAACACTGTTTGTTTGTGCATTAAGTTTTGAGGAGATAGATTTACACCATCTGATGTAGTTTTGATTAGAAATAAATCTTATTTTTATTAAATATGAATTAGTCAATGGCACAACTAATTATTTCATGAACTGAAATCTTGGACAGATTATTGTCTAATGAAATCTAAACAAATGTATTTATGTAATTTCTAACGAGGGTAGCCGTGTGAAAAATCAAGAGATGTCTCTCGTCATAATCATTGACGGACAGACCAATCCTTGACACATCGAAAATAAGTTACGGAGGTTGATATAATGCGTCAAAAAAGCCACAAAGGTTAATATTGAGTCAGAGAAACATATGGGTAGTATGAAAAAATAAAGTTATGGTATATTTATATCTAAATAATTATGCGCTTTGCAATGGAAGAAAAAAAATATGCCAAGGTGTATTTCAATTCGAGACAGGTTTAATAGAACATTGTTATTTATTGTTAGCATTAACTTATATTATGGATGAGACGGTCATCATAAAATAAATTATAAAAGCATAATAAAAAAGGTATGAAAATAAAGGAAAGCTCTTAAATTTTGCATTGAGAACCCTGTACTATTTCTAAACTAACCAAGCCCTTTTTATAATTTCTTGTTCTGTAGTACTTTTGCATTGGAATCCTATTGTTCTCGTTACTCTCCCCTCAGCTCCCTCGCTCTTTACTCACGTACTTACAGCGGCGGCGGTGGCAGCCTAGGTCCGCTCAACACGTCGCACGGTCCTCCGTCCAAACGTCAATGAGTGCATATGATGGCATGGCACTGTAGTAATTTTAAGAAGATTTCCAAGGGCAGCCGGATCGGATCGGTCGAAGCCAGGCCATCGCCGTTTTGAACCAGGACAAAGAAAGAGCGAAACGTTTCAGTTCCGGTTCCTCTCTGACAAAGCTGTTTGGAGCTGATTCTCTGGATTTACGTGAGAAACGGAAACGTTTCAACCAGCCAAACACTTGTGTTCCTCTCCCACTCTCGATTAGCTTCTGGCCCGACTGGCGCGCATGGGCCTAGTAGCGTCGGCAAACCCATCCCTTCTCCGCTGAAGCCCAGCAGGCCTCAGCCCACTCCTCCCTTCCTCTCCGCGCGCAAGCCCCACAGGTCGACCAGGCTTGCCCGATAGTGTGGCCTAGTAAACCGTAGTGGAGTGCCAGCTCTTCTATCCCTCTGTAGCTCCCTCTGCCAAACTGACCCCGCACCCTGTCTTGCTGCCAGGAGGCCCTAGCCGACAACCTCCCATCCATCTTCCTCGCACTGTGGTATAGTCGGACTCCACCAAAGTAACCCGTGCTTTGCTCTGACCTATAAAAGAGAAAGCAAGACGCTTCATTAAGGGGGCATCGGATCGATTCAAGCCAGGTCCGAATAAACCCATCGAACCCCGAACACACGACTGAGCAGCAACCGAGCTCTTTCAACATCCGTTCACTCCTTTCAACAAAGACTTGGGACCCATCCCTCTCTCATCAGTTTGTAACCCCTACTCTGAACTTTCAGTGCTAGTAACACGAGCAGCAGCAACGAACTGGACGTAGGGACATTCTGCCCGAACCAATATAAACCTTGTTTTCTCTAAACACACCATCCGAGCCAGACGCGCAATATTAAAAATTTACTCGTCGGTGGTGACTCAAAACAACGATAGGGCCTTTTGCGCGTCTCGACATCCACACCAGGCCTCGGATGGCTAGTCACAACGTCAGCTGGTCCCGGGCATGCACATGCGCTTCGGGAACCTGGACTTCATCGTCGCGAGAGAGAGAGAGTTGGTGCGGACTCCCGTCGTCGTCCAACCTCTCCACTTTGCCGGCCTCGACGCGATCGCCGAGGCGCTTGAGGAACTACAGCTGCACGCACCGGAGGCCCGCGCCCCCAGGAGCGACTAGCTCCTCGGCTTCGACTATGGGAGGTTAGAGTGCCAGCTCGGCGCCTTCTTGGGACCCCGACCATCCTAGGAGAACTTGCGCCACCTCACCTTCTCGTTCGCTAACGTCATAACGCAGCTCGCCGGAGGGGGGGCGCTCTCCCCGGAATACCTTATCCAGAACACCTCGACAGCGCTCCCGTCCGGTCTCCGCAACGCCGCGGAGACCGTTGGCCACCTTATGGCTCAACGCACGCCTCCATCCCCTGCGAACGATGAGTTCGTGGGGATGACCGAGTATGTCGCGGAGACTTTCCCTGACCTCCTCGCATGAGAATTGGAGTCGCCCTCCAGCTCTGACTCTAGCAAGGGAGCCATCACCCCTCTCGTGAGTGTTACATGGCAGGTACCCCCGAGGGACACGTCGAAAGCATCCACGAAGAAGAGGCTACCCTAACGAACGACCTTGACAACGAGGCCGAGGGGGATGCTGGGGCCCCTCCCCACCTGCGGGTGGAGCAACTGAAGGCCCGGCACCAAGAGCTCGAAGAAGCGTGACTCCAACTCGAGCAGGAACGCGCGGAGCTCGAGCGAGAGATCGAGCGCCACAGAGATAGTGGGCGTGCGCATGCCATGGCTCGCGACGTGAACCAGAGGATCATCGAGAACAACGAAGCGCTCCCACACTTCACCCAGGCAAGCTAGAACATCGCTGCGGCGGCGGCCTTGCTCCGGGGGCTTCTGGGGCCCGCGACGCCCGAGGATCATCGGGCCCATCACGATATTTGCAAGCTACATGAGCGTGCGGCGACGCAGCAAGCCGAGAGCTCACTGTCCTGACGACGCGAGCTCAACACCAGCCAGTGCACACCCTCAGAGCGACCCGACAAGGACGCGTCAGCCCACCAGGCGCCGCAAGGTGGTAGGCCACGCGTCGCGGTCCTAGTGCATGAGCGTATCGGCCACCACCGTGACGCGCGGGACACCCTCGACGCCCGCAAGCGTACCCACGGAGATACGAGGGAGGGGGCTAGCTGCGGCTACCACAACGGCGAGGGAAGAGGTTAGCGATGCGGATGCTGACCCCTCTCCCAGCACCACGACTCCTAGGAACCCCTCGACCGCGTCCCCCTCCGTCTGGCCCACGCCAGGTGCCATCACTTGGGCCGCCGATGGCACAGGTCGCGCCGGTGCCTCATGCGCCGCTATGGTTGCGCCCGGATATGACCCATCTGTCAAGGCCGCCGCCACCTCCACCTACATCAACAGGATCATGACCGGCTACACTGTGCCTGCCATGGTTGGCGCCACTAGCGCGGTTGGTAGCCCCATCCATCCCGCCATCGGCAGTGGTATCGCAGCCATCATCGATTGTTCTACGACCTCCGAAGGCGTCCCTTGAGCCCCCGTGTCCTCCCATCCCACCGAGGTCACGGGCGTCACCGTAGGCAGCGCCTGACCGGCCGGTGACGCGGTCACACTAGTGCCGCTCCCACCCAAAACGGGCGTGACACCAGCCGACGGTGTCACCTCAA